AGATTTGCCTGAAGGGGCAGTTCTTCAGTTCAGCCGGCTTAAGAAAGAGTCAGAGGGTCCCAGCCAGAGACCCTGCTGCCTCAGGACGTGGAGCTGGTCGGGATTCCCACCATGGCCTGGGCCCCGCTCCTTCTCGCTCTGCTCACATACTGCTCAGGTGTGCAAGGGGAGATTTTTCTCCATTTCTTCATGCAAACATATGTCCCCTTCTCCCTGCCTCTGCCCTGGCTGCCTGCTATTATTTACCTCTCAATGCAGTGATTAAGTATTGTCTTAATCCCTGTGCTTTCTGCTCCTTTTCTAGGTTTGTTTGCCCAGAACGTGGTAACGCAGCCACCCGCAGTGTCTGTGTCTCCAGGACAAACTGCTCGGCTCACCTGCTCTGGGACTGGCAGCTATGTCCACTGGTACCAACAGAAACCTGGCAGTGCCCCCCTACGCATTATATATGATGATACTAAGAGACCCTCTGGCATCTCTGACCGATTCTCTGGCTCCAAATCTGGAAGCACGGCCACGCTGACCATCACTGGAGTCCAGGCCCAGGACGAGGCTGATTATTACTGCAGCATGTGGGTTAGCAGCAGTTCTCCGCCTCACGGTGACACAGTGCAATGAAGAAGTGAGACATAAACCAGAAGGAGGGTTTTACACTTGCTTCTTGTGTAACCAGCTGAGCTGGAAGAGAGATTTCTGATTCTCTTGTCAGCTGCAGCCTCGATCTATAGAGGGCGCTGGGAACCCACTCGACTGCCGCACGCAGGATGTCTTGCTAGGATTGCCAGAGTACAAGGAGCCTTGGTGACTTGACTCAGAGTTTCAGCCCCTCCGGGGACTCACTGTGAGATACATGAATGTACTGAATGTGCAGAGATCTAAAGTGACTTTTGGCTGAATCTCCTCTGCTACCACCCTGCCAGCACCCCATCTGCCACCGAGTGTCCCAGCCCCTCTACAGCCATCACAGTCCAAGCATTGACCCTGGCACTCACTGCACACCTAGCCCCTGCTCCACCCCAGCCCACCGCATCTACACACCACGGCTGCTCTTCCCAACACCCCCTGGGATTCCTTCTTATAAGGCCAGGAGGGGGCTCAGGCCTGGAGCTGGAGCTGGGCAAAGCCAGACTGAGACTTAGGGTTCAGGTGGGGAAGGTCTGCACGTCCTACAGGTTGAGGAACTGCTCTGGGCATCCACGCTTGGTTGACAGAGACCAGGAGGTCCCCGCCTCCAGTATAGGATGCACTGACCCCCACAGATGGAAAATCATTTGTCCTGTCCTCCTGCAATGGCCACAAGAAGTTATGCAGCCAGGTTCAGTCCTGTGGCCTCTGCTCTTGAGGAAATGAAACGTGGCAGCAGCTGTTGAGCAGAGGCAGATTTGCATGAAGGGGCCAATCCCACACTGGGCAGTTCAAGAGAGACTTAGAGGGTCCCAGTCAGGCATGCATTCGCCTGAGGATGCCAAGGAGTCCTGGATTCCCACCATGGCCTGGGCCCCGCTCCTCCTTGCACTGCTCACCTATTTCTCTGGTACTAGGCTGGGCGCAGGGAGTTTCAGTTTTTTAACTAGGGGCTACATTCATTTTTCCACAGCCATGCGCTACCTGCACAGACCAACAAAGTTTTTCATCCCCATCTTTTCTCCTCCTGCCCTACGTTCCCTTGCTCAGCATGTGGTGACACAGCTGCTGGCAGTGGCTCTCTCTCCAGGACAAACAGCTCAGCCCCCTGCTCTGTGCTAGCACCGTCCCTCAGCACAGGCCTGTCACAGCCCATCCCCAGCTCTCCTGGGGACACGCATGTCCCGGTCGACAGGTCCCAGGCCAGACTCCAGCACTGCTGTGTGGATGCTGCACAGGCTGCCCCAGAGTCTCCACCCACTGTGACTGCTGCTCTTCCCTCTTCAACCCTCCTTCCCTTCCTGCTCCGCAGGGTCCTGGGCCCTTTGCTGCCCTGTGCTGCCTTGTGGGATGGGACAAGTGGCCCAGCTCACACCTATTTGGCAGGAGAGGGCAGAGGCCCTTTATCAGGCCATGGTGAGTCCATGCTGGCTGTTCCTAATCACCTTCTTCTCCTCCAACTGCTTAGAAATGCATTCCCCGAGGACCTGCTCCATGACTTCTCCAGCCACTGGGGTGCGGCTGAGATCCTCCTTTTTTCCTTTCGGAGCCTAATTATGAATGGGATCACAAAAGTAGTGACTGACTGCATGAATGAAGCTCCCCCACACCCCCGACCCAGTTGCCTGCATCATAACTTTGGAGTCACACAGGCGCATGTTACAATGTGCCAGCTCTAGATTTTGCTTGTCCTCAGAATGGCGGCTGCAACTGTCTGAACCCCTCTCAGAGGGGTTCAGACAGGCTGGTGGCACAAACACATTGGTTACTCCAAGGCAAATAATGTCCTGACATGGAGCAGATGGCAGGAAGGTATAACAGGGTGCTCCAAGCTTAGGGCCACTGCGAAGTATGAAGCAACACCCACTCCCACTACTGGTTGTGAAGGTGCCTACTGTTGGTCCTCGCCACACAAAAGTGATGCCAGGGCTGCTGCCCTGCTCAGTGCACCTCAGTTCTGCTCCTGAGCTGGAGCAGGGGAAAGGGCATCGCAGCGCTGTTACTTGCAGCTGTGGGGAGTCAGACTCGTGCTGGTGGCAGCCCTAGCAGTGAGCACTGGAGGGCACTGTGCACCCACTGTGACAGACACGGGGACAGCATCTCCTGCTTAGCACAAGGCACAGAGCCAGAGCTGCCTGGAAACAGTGCCATCACCCTTCACACAACAGGGTGACTTTCTCACTCTCAGAGGGAGGCCATGGTTGTAGCACAGGCCCTCTGTTACCTTTGTGCTGAATACACTCGTATCATCCCCAGCTCTGCCTGGATGCAGGCACATCCTGGCCTGCAGACTCCAGGTCACAGACCAGTCCTGCTGCCTGTGTGCCCTGCTCAAAGAATATGTGCATGGCATCTTCTGCTCCTCTGCCCCTTAATCCTGCTTCTCTTCCTGCTGTAGAGGGTCCTGAGTACTTTGCCAGCCACTGCAACAGCTGAAAGACCTATCCTGTTGCCTGGATGTTTTGCCCAGAGAATACGGGCATGGGGTCTTCTGCTACCCTTCCCTTCCCTACCCACCCACTCACACTCCCCTTT